TATCAAAATATTATCAAATTTCATTTTTTGGATGACCTTTACACTTTCTGTTAAACCCTGATACCTCAAGTTCTTCACAATTATCTTCATCCATTACAAAAAAAATCAGAAAATAGATGAATTAAAAAATAGATTAAAAAATTATATCATGATAGTTATATGATTATCTTTACAAGAGTATCAAGAAGGTGTTAGACGTTACATGTTACACATATATTAAGTTAATTTATATATATATTCATGTTTAAGTAAATTAATTTTTATTTTTATTAAAAAAAAAATAATCAAGCTCATAAAGTCCATTTTAATATTATAATATCTCATGAATTAGCTAAAGGTGAAAAGAAGAAAGAAGGCAAGGTAAGTATAAGTTATTTATTTTTTAATAAAAAAAAATAACAAAAAAAAAACTCACCATTTTGCCATACGTCCCTCCAAGCTCGCAAAACCCATTTCGAAGCCCATTTCGATCTCATGGTGTTCCCATGAATCAGCTAAAGGTGAAAAGAAAAAAGAGAACTATACCTGCCACCCAAATTCAAAATCAAAATGCCAAAATTCCAAATGCCAAAATCCCAAATCCCAAATCTCAAATTATGATTAGTATTTTTTGTCGAAATCCCAAATCCCAAATCCCAAATCCCAAATACTAGTAATTTGGGATTTGGGTAACACGTATAAAGAGGGCAAGGTAAGTATAAGTTATTTATTTATTTATTTTTAAAAAAAAAATAACTAAAAAAAAAAAAATCACCATTTCATCATACGTCTCTTCAAGCTCGCAAAATCCATTTCGAAGCCTATTTCAACCTCATTGTGTTTCCATTAACCAGCTAAAGATGAAAAGAAAAAAGAAGGCAAGGTAAGTATAAGATATTTATTTATTTATTTTTTTTAAAAAAAAAAAAACTAAAAAACTTACCATTTCGCCATATGTTCCCAATTCGTGATACCAATTTCGAAGTCCATTTTGACCTCCATAGTGTTTCCATGAATTAGCTAAAGGTAAAAAGAAGAAAGAGGACAAGGTAAATATAAGTTATTTATTCATTTATTTATTTTTTTAAAAAAAATAACTAAAAAAAAAACTCACCATTTTGTTGTATGTCCTTCAAGCCCGTGAAGCCCATTTCAATCTTACGGTATCCCTACGAACCAGCTAAAGGTAAATATAAGAAAAGACAAGGTAAATATGAGTTATTTATTTATTTATTATTTTTTTTTTAAAAAAAAATAACTAAAAAAAAAAATCACCATTTCGTTGTATGTCTCCCAAACTGTGATGCCCATTTTGACCCTATGGTGTCCTTATGAACCAGCTAAAGGTGAAAAGAAAAAAGAGGGCAAGGTAAGTATAAGTTATTTATTCACTTATTTATATTTTTTTTTTAAAAAAAAATAACTAAAAAAAAAACTCACCATTTCGTCATACGTCTCTCCAAGTTTGCGAAACCCATTTCAAAACCATTTCGATCTCATAGTGTCCCCATGAACCAGCTAAAGGTGAAAAGAAGAAAGAGGGCAAGGTAAATATATGTTATATGTTTATTTATTTATTTATTTAAAAAAATAACTAAAAAAAAACTCACCATTTTGTAGTATATCCTCCAAGCTCGTGAAGCCCATTTCGAAGTTCATTTCAATCTCACGGTGTCCCTACAAACTAGCTAAAGGTGAATATAAGAAAGGGCAAGGTAAGTATGAGTTATTTATTTATTTTAAAAAAAAAAATAACTAAAAAAAAAACTCAACATTTTGCCGTATGTCCCCCAAGCCGTGATACCTATTTCGAAATCCATTTTGACCCCATGGTGTCTTCATGAATCAGCTAAAGGTAAAAAGGAGAAAGAGGACAAGGTAAGTATAAGTTATTTATTCACTTATTTATATTTTTTTTAAAAAAAAAATAACTAAAAAAAAACTCACCATTTCGTCATACGTCCCTTCAAGTTTGCGAAACCTATTTCAAAACCATTTCAATCTCATGGTATCACCACGAACCAGCTAAAGGTGAAAAGAAGAAAGAGAGAAAGAGGGCAAGGTAAATATATGTTATTTATTTATTTATTTATTTAAAAAAAATAATTAAAAAAAAACTTACCATTTTGTAGTATGTCCCTCAAGCCCGTGAAGCCCATTTCGAAACCCATTTCAACCTCACAGTGTCCCTACGAACCAGCTAAAGGTAAATATAAGAAAGAGCAAGGTAAGTATGAGTTATTTATTTATTTATTTATTTATTTTAAAAAAAAAAATAACTAAAAAAAAAACTCACCATTTCGCCATACGTTCCCCAAGCCATAATGCCCATTTTGAAGTCCATTTCGATCCCACAGTATTTCCATGAACTAGCTAAAGATGAAAAGGAGAAAGAGGGCAAGGTAAGTATAAGTTATTTATTCACTTATTTATATTTTTTTTTAAAAAAAAATAACTAAAAAAAAAAAACTCACCATTTCGCTATATGTCCCTCCAAGTTTGTGAAACCTATTTCAAAACCATTTTGATCTCATGGTGTTCCCATAAACCAGCAAAAGGTAAGAAGAAGAAATATAGTATATTAAGGATATTATTAAGGCAAAGGATATATAAGTTTAGTTTTATTTTTTTTTTTTAAGAAAAAAAAGTAAAGATTAAAAAAAAAAAAATTTAATAAAAAATGATTATCAGATCTATTGTGTCACAAATTTTTAAATAAGTAATTGGTTTCAAATATTTTTTCCGCTGCCAAAAATAATTTGAACTGTCAAAAATAATTTGAGCTGCCAAAAATAATTTAGGCTGCTAAAAATAATTTTGGCTGTCAAAAATAATTTGGACTTTTTTGACCTTTGAAGCTTAAATAATTTGGGCCTATTCTACTATCCAAATTCCAAATTATTTTGGAATTTGGATGGCATGTATAATGTGATATTTCCGTAAATTTACATTTAATTAAATTCCCTGGTGCAGTAATAAAAAGTTAATTACAAATTAAGCAAATAACTAATGCTCTGCTACTATACTTATATGCAAAATTATTTTGAAGAAAAAAGTTAAAATAGTTTTCATAGAAGACGAAATTATTTTACTTAAAGCCTGAAATTTTTTGACCACCCAGATTTATTCTTTGATTAAAAATACATATAACTGAGTACTTTTTTTACTTCTATATATAAAATAGATTCTGCATAAATCTCAAAAAGTTGAAATACTTCAAAAATTTAAAATTAATTTTAGGAACATGTATATTTGCTATACTTTATATTTAGAGTTACTATGCTTCTTCAGAACAAAAAACATTTTAGTAATTAAATAAGATAATGTATATTTTAATTAAATTGATATATTTTTTGATTAAAATAATTAATTTATACATACCTTTATAAAAGTTATTAGGAATAAGATAAAAAATTTAAAATCTACAGAAATGACTAGTTTTAACTAAAAATTTATCAAGTATGTATTTAAAAAATCCACTTATATATTACTGTATATATTTAGCTTTATTAATTACATATATTTGCAAGTGAAATTTTCTAATGTATGTGATAATAATTTAATTGATCTTTATTATAAAATGTATATAAATGATTGTGTAATGTATAAATCAAAATCTAGACTTTCCCTTATGTCTGAGAATAGGATTGTTAATGGAGCAAAGTGGGTTGAGTTGAGTTCATATTATAGTGAAGTAAGAGGTAACTCAACTTAATCTGAATTAAATACTCTGGGTTTATACTTCAGGTTATACTCCAGGTTATTTCAGGTTACTTCGGGTTACTTCAAGTTACTCCGTTTTATTCCAGGTTATTCCAGATTACTTTATAGTAGAGATACCTGCTGAAATCAATGTATTACAGCAGAGTTGCAACTATTTTCTTAATTGCGCCAATGCCATAATACCATAATTTTGGCTGTAATGTTGTAATTATGTCATAATATAATTTATATAAAATCAGAAATAATTGTCAATGGTTGTTACATATAAAATTTTTATTCTATAAGTAAATATTAAAAATGATATTAATTAATTTTATAGATTAGAATATATTCTATTATCTATGAAAAATACAAATCCATTTTATCAAAATTGAGAAAATTATTCACGTTTAAAGTTTGAATGGATAAAAAAAATTAAAATAACTATTATTTGCTCAATTTTAATAAAGTAGGCTTGCATTTTTCAAAGATAATAGAATATATTTTCATCTATTAAATTTATTAGTATCGCTTTTAATATTTACTTATAGAATAAAAAGTTTTATATGTAGCAACTATCGATAATTATTTCTGATATAAACTATTTTCATTTTCTTGAAACATGATTATAATTAAAGTTTCATTTTCATTTTTATTAGAATTTAAACTAAGATTACTTTCCTTTCTATCTAAGTTTATAGATGCAGATGCAACAACAAATTCTTCAGGTTCACTATCTGAAAGTGTATTATAAAAATCTTCAGATCTTTTATTTATGATAAAAAAAATTTGTAAATTGATTACCAGTTATTAAAATTTCAACCAATAAAATATTGCTCTATGTGAAGCAACCCGGAGTAAATTATTTGGAGTAATCCGGAGCTATAATTAAATTATAACCCGGTTACTATATAATTGAAATTCTTAACCCACTCCATAATGGAGTGGGTTATAACCTGGAGTTGCTCCGGAGTATAATACTCCATTAACAACCCTACTAACAAGACTCCGATGGTTTAAAAAAAAAAACTTAATCGTCAAAACGTCACTAATTTCACTTATAGATAATAAAGGTCTGCATCATCTGAAAAGTTTAGAGAATTATTAGTGATCAAAATTTGAACGGCCGTACGAATTAAAATGTCGATAATTTTCTCAATTTTAATCAAATAGAACTAAAATTTTAAAAGAAGGTATACCTTTTTATTGTCTACAAGTTTACTTAGTTAAATTTTGACGATTTAAATAATAAATTAAAAACCTTTATATGAACGAGAATTCACGATTTTGATTGGTCATAGTCAACGGAAAATCTCGTGATGGACACTGCCTTTTTTTTAGAAAGACGTCAAAAGTTGATGTCCTCCACTGTACCTCAATCACTTATCACCTCAGATGATAGACAACGTTTCTCTTTTTAGTAAGCCTGTTGTTTCTTCGGTTTTGGATCTTTAATATATTACCCTATACAGATATAATAATGGTAACACTTGATATGGAAATTTTTTGAGTTCATATTCTGTGAACAGGATTGATGAATCCCTTGATCTTTGATTCTTTCCTAAATGATATCATCTTATCATCTTATCTTCAATCCCATTATCTAAAATGTACATTTAATCTTTCTAATGGATACTTTTTTTTGTATATTCACGTTATCACAATAAAATTACTATTTTTTTTTGTTTTCCTATTGTCCGATTTTGCGAAATCTTGAATTTTATTTAATAAAATAAAATGGTAAGATTTCTTACAGTCCTATCCAATGTATCCAATAAAGCAACAGACACAAAGACGAAGCCACTTATAAACTGACAAATGTATACAGAGAATTTTTTTTAAAAAAATTTACATTTTATTCGAAGTTAATAAAAGAAAAGAAATAAATTTTTGAAATTTAAAGTGTATTATTACATTTAAAATAACAATTATAATCGAAAATAAGTAGTTCAGAATAACAATAATAATAATGATGATATTCTTCGATAATTCATTTATCGTATTTTTTTGATCGTACGATCTTAATTCGTTTCACTCGATGTTGTTTTTGTTCTTGTTCATTATCTGTGGTACCAGTAATTCCCACAGTATTAAAAGGGGGAGTGGCAATAGTAGTAGTAGTAGTATTAGTTCTTGAGTCAGAATAATTATTTGTCGGAGGTTTTGAAATAAATTTGACTCGTTTTGCTTGATGCTGCTTAAGAACTTGTTCGCACCGCTGCTGCTGCTGCTTATCATTTTGTTGATCATCTTGTTCATAAATTTCTAAATTTGAAAATTGTCTCTTTTTGCTTATTACTGGCTCGGGTTCACTAACTGTAACTTCGAGTGTATTTCGAGTACTAACAGAATTATTAATTCTAACAGTATTAGGAGTAGGAGTAGGAATGAGAGCAGTAGTAGGAGTAGGAATGAGAGCAGTAGTAGGAGTAGGAATGAGAGCAGTAGTAGGAGATGTAGTAGGAATGAGAGCAGTAATAGGAGATGTAGTAGGAATAGTTCTTGTATTAAGATTATTATTATTGATGGTAATTCTTCTGCTTATTATTTCATTAGCATCAGTGATAGTAGCCCTTGCTCTTGCTCTAGAAGCGGCAGTATATCTCGTTGCTCTTGCCAATGCATTACTTGCAGCAATAGCAATAGAAAGAGAGGTAGGAGTAGTTCTTGATTTTACAGGATTAATTATTATCATATCGGAAACAGCAGCAGCAACGTTATTGATTGTTCTTCCGGCGGTATTTTTTGTTGCTGTTCGTGTTCTTGTTTTAGAAGCAGCGGCTTTGGTAGTTTAAAATAAGTCGTTTTAATGAATATTATTTCTAACAAGAATACCTTAATAATAATTAATATTACAAAGTTTTTTTACTTACTTTTGTTATTCTTATTGTTATTCTTATTGTTACCTTTCATCTTGGTGTTTTGCGAATAAATTTATTAAATTTGAGATAGTAAAGTTGATATGTTTTTATCACAGCAACGAAAACGACGATTGGAAATGAAGGCAATGAAAATAGTGAGAGATAAACAAACCTAATTTTATTTATAAAAAAAAAATTGAAGGCTATTTATAAAAAAAAATTGAAGGCAGTGAAAATCGTGAGATAAACAAACCTAATTTTATTTATAAAAAAAAAATTGAAAGCGTAAAAGATAAACAAAAACAATTTTTTTTGAAAGACGTGTCGATGATCAGTAGCATCATGTGATTAATAATCACGTTTTTGATATATCAAGATACGCGTGAAAAAAGTGGTTGTTTTTTTTGATAAGCCTTTATTTATTTATTTATAGATATATCAAAAGATAACTATTTTGTCACATGAAAATTTGATATATCAAAAAAAATAACCATAGATCTATCAAAAACGATACCTTTGCATTTAGCCTTGTAAAAAATTTTATGACTTTATTTCCGATTGCGCTTAATATATTTAATATATGGGTACAGCAAATGATAAAAAAAGAGAAAATAAAAATACTATCGCCGAAAATTAAAGATTCTCGTAAACTAGTATGTCTATATGACGTGATTAGTTCATAATTTAAGTGATATATTTTGGTAATGTGATTTGCGTAATTTCATTAATCAAAATTGAGGATCTGCATAATGTATTTATTAGTAAGACATTTTCTATTAATTATAATCATTTGTCCGAGAGTGAAACACAAATTAATTGGTGAGTTCTTTATTTAGAATTTAACATTTTAAGAACTCTCAAAAATTATAGAAATTCTAACTAATTTTAGAAAGAATTCTCTTTTTTTTTATAGTAAGGATTTATTTGGTTTCATCGATAAAAGAAAGAATTTCTAATCATTTCCCAAATAACAAAAATTTGGAATTTAGAACAAATTATCATTATTATTATTATTATTATTATTATTATTATTATTATTATTAGATGAGCGATTGGGTAGATTAATTGATAAAGATAATTTAGAAAAAAAATAATATACTTTTGAGGCTTAATAATAATAATAATAATATTATTATTATTATTTTCATATTATTTTAAAATAATATTATCGTAATATTATTTGAAATTGTCAAATTTACAAATTGAATTACTTTTTTTAATAAAAAATAAATCAAATAAATAAATCAAATAAAATAAATCAAATAAATAAATCAAATAAATAAATATTAAATATTATAAAAAAAAATAATAATAATTAAGTACGTATAATGACAATAAAATCATTATCATCACCACATCATCATCATCGATCGCTTTTATTTATATGAAATTGTTTATTAATTTTCTATTAATTACAATGAAAAAAAATGAATGAAATAAATAAATAAATAAATAACGAAATGAATAGAAAAAAAATAATAATTGTTTTTTGTGCATAATAAATATAATAATGTTTGATACAATGAAATTACTAATAATTAGGATTATAGTAACAATGATCTATGTTTTTATAAACAAATAATAATAATTTAAACCAGTTAAGATCATGATCGTTACATATTTGTATAATTATCAGAAATCATAGATATATACTGTTTATATATTGTATTCAGATATAAAAAGCAATAAACATATATCTGTTAATACCCGTGAAGATCTTGCAGATATTTCATTATCTTTAATCATCATCTTAAATAAACACGAGGTGAACATCTTTAAATGTCAAAGTACTATGAAATTACCAGTATTGGTAATTTATAATAATTATATAATTATGTAATCTTTTACTTTAAAAAAATTATTAGGTAATTACTTCTTTTTCTTCTTTTTCTTCTTTTTTTTTCTTCTTTTCTTTTTTCTTCTCCTTTAATTTCCTTTTTTTTTCTATGAGACAAATTTTTTAATTGGTAGAGTCTTAATTGAAAAATAATTTATTTATTATTAATTAATATTCTTTAATATGTTATTGAATAATATTAAATGTGTTCGTTAATATCCTTTAATAATGTTAATAATGTTATAACATTCTTGAATGGATTCCTTAATGCATTGCTTAATATTAAAGTTAATTCTCAAGGAAAAAGATTTAAATTAATTTAATTAATATTATGCAAATTAAATTAAATTAATTAATTACGAATTTATTACTGTAAATATAAAAAAAAAATAAATAAATAAAAATAAAAAAGGGATACATAATAAAATTCTAAATGCGTCAAAAAAAAATTGACCCGTTGTTATCCGCGATGATATAAATTGATTTGTTTATGTATAACTCTTGAATGTAACTCGTGTGTGAAACTCGTGTGTTTACGAAAAACAAAACATTGAGAAAAAAAAATATAGAAAAAAAAAATAGAGAAAAAGATATAGAAAAAATATATAAAAAAAAAATATAGACAAATCATTCAAAAGTATAAAAATATAAAAATATAGAAATATAGAATAACACACTGTCAACTGCTTAATTTGTATTACTGTATTGATTTTCGATTGTTTCAACATAGCATAATTTGGTTAGATGACATTTAATTAGAGTTAATTCAAAATTAATTCAAAGTTTAATATCAAAAAAAAAAAAAAAAAAAATCTCATCTATAAATCTTACATTTTTCTCCTGATAACTTTCTTGAATGAATGAATGAAAATTTTTATTTTTATTTTTCTTTCTTCTCTCGTTATTATTATTATTATTATTATTATTATTTACTCAAAAGCAATAATTCATAACGACTTCATGTTTTATTACAATTTTACAATTGCAATTATTACAAAATTTATTATTCATGTTCTAGTCATATAATTTATATTCATCATTTATTCTTTTATTCTTTTATTCATTTTATTCATTTATTCATTTCTTTCATTTATTCGTTCACCCAATTCATATATTTTTATATTTAATATATTCATTATTGCATTAACATATTCATATTATCTGTCTGTTATAATCATTACATATCATTCTTATCATTGTTTGCAATGTATAATAAGCAATGTCATTACTTATTAAAATTCACGAATTCTTTATTCTTCTTTCTCTTTTTCTTTTAGTTACTCCTTCCTTTTCTTCTCCTTTTCCTTCTCCTCTAATTACTACTGAATTATCCTTAATTAATAATAATAATAATAATAATAATAATGATAACAATAATGCTTTACCTTTACAATCAAATGACACCAACAATAATTGTAATAAAGAAAACTTTGACAATTCCAATTTTCGAATAGTTCTTATATTTACGTATTCAATGTGTTTATTAAATGCTATCGGATGTATTTATATCTTTTATCGTACTTGGTTACAATGGAAAATTTCTTCTTCCAAAGGATTATCAATGATTTTTAGATTACCTTTTTATACTGCTATTTCTGGTATGTCATATACATAACCATATTACGTATATTATAAATTTTATCTAATAGATATATGTGTGTATTAGATTCTGGAATTGTTATAGTAGGAATTATCAATATTGTAAGTAATAATAATTTAATTTTACCTTTAATTATAAAAATAAATAATATAATAATAATAATGTTTTTTTTTTTAAAAAAAAAAAAAAAATATTATAATTAGTCTCATACTGCCATATATACGGAAGTATGGAGTCAACCCGTATGTGGTATATTAAGTGGATTGACATATCTCTTTGTTACAATGAATTTGGCATTTTATGGTACTATCAGGTAAAAAAATTATTATTAACCGATAGATTATTATTATTATTAACAGATAGATTATTATTATTATTAACAGATAGATTATTATTATTATTAACAGATAGATTATTATTATTATTATTAACAGATTAATTATTATTATTATTATTATTATAGTGTAACAACATATATTCGAGTATGCCGTGAATGTTATTTTGATTTGGGAAAATATGATTATAAATTATGGACTATTGTATTTTTTGTTTCTGCTACTTTACAATTAATGGTTGGAGCTAATCATGGACCACGAAAATATTGGTAATTCATTATATTTATTTATTATATTTAGATTTATATTTATTATTGATTATAACGTTATATTCATTTATTAATGTATTAGGTGTTCTGCTAATTATGATAATGTATTCATGCCTGCCCTTACTTTTTCTTTAATTTTCATAATTTTCATTATTATCATTACTTGCTATATAACCATTTTGAGAACCCTTTTGGGTGCTGTGAATTGTTCAAATAATAATCGAAATAATCGAAATAATCGAAATAATCAAAATAATCAAAACATTGTAACAACACCGCAATTCCAAAGTCTAAACACTGATAATAATAATAATAATCATAAAAACAATATCAAAAAACGGATTTCAAATTTTTTAACCATTCGTAATTCTAATTTCATTTTTTTTAATTCATCAAATTTTCGTCGACAAAGTCATTCCACCACCACGGCGACGACGACAACAAATACAACAAATATTGGTATTATTGAATTTGTTAAGAAGAGAAGTGAATTAGAAAAACGTGTATTCATAAAAGTTCTATGTTATATTTTGGTGTTTATTATGCAGGTAATAATTATTTATTATTTATAATATATTATTTTACGATATTTATAATAGGGTTTTGTTTTTTATTGGTGACAGATAAGGGATGACAAATATGGGTTCACATGCTAAAAAAATTCAGGATTTATAATAAAAATTGATATTCAACAGGTGTGACACAGGGTGCCGAATTTTTTACCCTGGACTAACCCTTTTAGTCATATGCCATGCGCCATAACGCAAAAACAAAATCCTTTATAATATAACACTTATATTTATTTAATTATTTAATTATTTAATTATTGAATTATTTTAGTGGGTTCCATTACAAATTTACACAGCCGCTAAATTACTTAAAGTGAGTAAATATATATTTATTGTAATATTTATAATAATTCTTATAATAATATTTCATCCTATTTATTTTAGATTGATTCTATATGGGTTTATATCATTTGTGTTATAGGTGAGAGTTGATTATTATTATATTATTATTATTATTATATTACATAATATTAATTATTTTAATTTTGATAATTTTTATACAGGAATTCATTCGGGAGGTGTAGGTAATGTAATAATCTATATAATGAATCAAGGTTGGACACCACGAGAAACTTTTACATGGAATAAAACTACTACCACTAATGACAATAATAATAATAATAATACCAACGATAACAACAACAACAGCAATAATGATAATAATAATAATAATAATAATAACGATTTACCACCACCTTTCATGTCAACTCCAATAACTTTAACTCCAACAACTCTAACTCCAACTCTAACCCCATCAACTCCTACAACTTTCACTTTCACATCACCTCATCAAAATAATCAAAATAAACATGTTTCTACCACTTCATCACAAATTACCACAACTTCCAATTATCCTATTACAACTAATAATGATAATGAGAATATTAATAAGAATAATAAAAGCAACGAACCAATTCAAAAACTTCAAAAAGTTCATATCGATGATACTCGTCGTCTTAGTGAAATTAAAAATAATAATAATAGTAATCGTCACTACTATCAACAAATTAATCAGCAACAACAATTACAACCACCGCACAATTGTCGTAATTCTCAAAATCATTCTTCGAAACTTCTTCACGAAGTAATTCTTAATATTATTAATAATAAGAACAACAACATTAATAATGATGTTGAGAATAGTTATTCTTATAATAACAATGATAATAATAACAATGATAATAAGAACCATGATAGTTTAAATAATAATCATCATAGCATTAATAGTATTAATAGTATTAATAGTCATCATAGCAGTAATGGTCATCATAGCATTAATAGTATTAATAATCATCATAGCATTAATAGTCATCATAGCATTAATAGTCATCATAGTATTAATAGCATTAATAGCATTAATAGGCATCATAGTATTAATAGTCATCATAGCATTGATAGTAATAATAGCATTCATAGTAATAATAGCATTGATCCATTATCGTCATCATTCTTTAATAATAACACAAATACCGTTACTTCCAAGAAGTTAACATCTGACTATATAATTGATTTAAATAGTAATAATAACATTGATGTTGATAATATTGATATTGATGTGGAAGTTGATGATAATGAAAATATTGAAAAGATAAAAGATTATTGTAATTTGGATTATGATGAAGAAGAAGAATTTGAAAAAGAAGGAAAATTTGAGGTATGGATGGAAGCTATGGAAGAAGTTGATGATATAATTGATGTGATGGTGATGAATAAATGAGAATAATTGAGGATAAATGAGGTAAATGTTTCCAGGGAATAAGAACATTGTACTATTACTTTAATTATATATAAAATTGTAAAATACTTGTATACTGTATTCAAATATTGTATTAAATATTATATATCATGTAATATCAAATATTGTATTAATGTATAATTAAAATTGTGATTATTTTATATTCAATTTATCACGTATATAGATTTATTCAATTAGCAAAATCGCCTCTCAGTTTTTTTTTTTCTAATAAAATATTAGCTAGAAGCCTCAATTTATTTATTTATATATTACAAAAAAAAAAACTGTTTAAAAATCATTGAAAAAAATAGAAAAGACAAAATTTTCTTAAAATTTTTCAAGTTTAAAACTGTTAGTCAATGTGAGAAATATTCAAACTCTAATAACTTCCGTGAAAACAAAATTTGAAAAACTAGCCCGCCCTAAATTATGTATTCTAATATAACTCTAATAACTTCTATGAAAACGAAATTTGAAAAATTAAAATATATGTATAACAGGAAAAGATAATTATTTGTTTTAGGGAATTATTATCACAGTATTGGCAGCTTAATTTGTATTATTCTCTATTTCACACCAAATCTTAAGAAAAGTTATTAACTTTGATTAACCGAAGAAGACGGAATCCATTTTTTAAACTATCTTATAATGTTCTCAATTTGTCGCGCCACCTGATCTGCATGAATTATTGACGTCGAACTGGCCAAAAAGTCCCCAGGTATTTTATCTTTAAACAAAGATACAATTCTTGTTATATAGAGAAGCAATATGAAAATCCAGGACTTGATGAAGTAATAATTGATAGGCCATTTCATCGCGATGTATAATGTTTGGAGAGTGATTGGAATATAAAATATGACATGAAAGATACCATTTATTTTATTGCTTATCCTTTCATTACCATTGTAAATGTAAGATAAAAATTTTAAAAAAATTAATACGATAATAAATGCACTGAAAATTATGAGGAATATTATAGAAATCGGATCCAAAATATGAAAATAGGAAATAAAAATGATCCAGAATAATGGAACAAATATGATTGAAAAAAAAAATTATACATAATTTAAAGATTGAATGGACAAATTTTTTATCGTATTCCAAAGTACGAAAATCTTCAATTGTGGCATCTCTTATTATCGCGATAATTAAATTTATTAAGTGAAAAAGTCCACATAAAAAATATAATGTAATAACGGATGAATGAAAATGGGGATTATATGCGAAAAAAACCGTTAGTGGGATTCCCCAAACAACTATATTATGTAATATGTCATCTAACAACGGTAATATAGTTCTATTAAGTCCAGTTTTAGAAGTATTAAATATAATAACAAAAGTTATTGGAACAAGTGTATTAAAAAATCCATCAAATACATCTTGACAAGAGGATGTATATGTATTATCGATGAGTGGCATTTTTAAAGAAAGAGATCTTTATTCTTTTTTTGTAATAATTTCCTATTTTTATAGGGAAAGAAAACCTGGATTTTATATCGACTTAAACGTTGACTGTAATAAATAGAATTTTCCATTCTCAAAAGTTTACCAAATATTTTGACGATTGTTATTTTGTTATTATAAATATATTCTTTGATTTCTTTCCCAGAATACCATAAACAAAAGAAAGGAATGTAGAAGCGGAATCCTTAATAGTTTAAGTTAAATATTTTTTTAATTATATATTTTTTAGGGTATTTATATGAAAAAGGAACTTCGAACTTATAGCATATAGATTTCAAAAGGTTTGAAGATTTAACAGTTAAAACATTAGTATTTGTTATTTAATAGATTTGAAGTGCATTGATTATTAATCTTAATTTTACAGAGTAAATAAATAAATATTGAATATAAACATAATAATAATAATTAAAAATATGTATATATACAATAAAAATTATATATATTAAAAATATTAATCATGTGGATAATGGCCAATAATAATTAAAATTTTTTAGACGTCACATACGTGATATAAAAACATCGAAGTGAGACAAATATGCGACATATTTATCGTCGTATAAACAAAAAATTCACGGCCATAGTCAATGAAAAATCTCATGATTGACTCCGCTTTTTCTGGTAAGAATTAAGTTCTAAATTTTAAGCAAATGAATTGGAAGATGATATAAAATATAATAAAGTTATAACAATTTTAATTATAAAAATTTATAATCACCAGTGATATATTTTTTATATCCATTTCTTTTATCGGAACTATTTAAACCAGCATATAATTTCTATGGCTGCGGTACATTTCTTTTTTATCAAAATACCAATATACCTCTTTTAACCCTTTTGTTTAAACTATCAGCGTACTTTGTTACGGCTGCAGTATTTTATCTTTTTTTAATACCACCAGCGCGCTTTGTCACGGCTACGGTATTTTCGAGTCGCCATAAATATCGTCGTGCGACTTACATAACATATGCAATTTTTAGATATAATTAAGTTAAATATAAACAATCTTTAATTAAAGTACTTACTCTTTGTAGTTTATCACGGGCATAATAAGTAATAGAGGAAGTAGTAGCCTGGCTAATTCTTGACCGTTAATTTGATTAACTTCTTCGTTAGCTGGGTAGGTCGGATGTATCAGCAGGTCATTCTGGTTCCCTTTTTAAACCATCTAGTAACTGAAAATTAGTCGAAGGTAAGTAGTCAGCACGTATATCTTGCAATAAACTAATAATTTTGTTGTCATTCTGCCGATAGATTTGATTTAAACGGAGATACAAGGATTTCAACTATCAGCTTCGAAACATCATTTATAATGTAGTTCGGTGGAAGACAGTTGAAAAAAATCCCCATAAACAACTAATTGAATATCCCAAACAGCTTACCAATCCCCTTGATTTAACTTGTCAAATAAATGGCCGTCGAGCATGGATATTTCATCAATAATCAATACTTGGCATTTTTTCTTTTCACCGATTGACTTTTTGCTTCTTTTAGTTATTTTAGTGAGCATTTGTGGTCAAACAATTTCTCCTGCTACCTCAATTCCAGCAAAAGAGTGTAAAGTTTGCCCCTGAATATTAATCGCGATTCGACCAGTGCAAGAAGTGATAAAAAGTTCATTTTGTGATTCTTTTTACAAATGATATCAATAGTATGATATTAACTTTGGGATTTTTCAAATTTATCATTTTATAATTAACATTATTGATTTATTAATTTGTATTAATTTTTTACATGAAAAAAGTAATAAAGTAAAGAATAATGTATAACCTCTATTATTACAATATTTTTGATACCATTCTAAGATTTTTTTCCCATTCCTTCAAAGAAATATAACCAGATTTAACAACAATTTTAAAAAATTTATGCTTCAGAAATATCTTTTATTATTATATATTAATCATAAAATATAATTTGCTATGTCATCATTTTCCTCTTCTTCTTTAGCAACAGCAAACCTTAAATAATTATTTTCTACTTTAAATAATTATGATAACAATATCCTACACTATTGTAGATAGCTTTTTTAAACCATATAAAGGCTTCTTTGTTATTTTTAGAAATTCCATAACCTTTTTCCAAATCTTTAAGATCTTGAAAATAATTTTTAAATTTTCTGTTGTATAATCTTTAATCCATTTTAAATATTGATTTTCAGTTTTAATTGAACAAATATTATAATAATTTAATTGTTTCTTTTTAATTTTGAAAAGGATTAGTTTCGCCATCCTATTATCTTCATCATCTTCTTCCGCTGTAGAAAATTCTTCTGTTAAAGGTAATAATACATGTACATTATCCGGTAAATATAACTGACCATTACGATTGAAATGACTTTCGAAATATTATCAAGTATAATATGAACTTTAAGTTTCAAAATTTCTGGAGTTTGTGATGAAGGTATTATTTTTTCTAAAATTTTAATTATTTCTTCAATATTTGGTCATTCTCTTTCCAAAAATGGCTATTTACTGTCCCATTTGATTATGATTATTGTGCCAAGTAGACTGACATGCTCATATAATGTAATTCGTTTTGGAGACAATTGATCCAAATTTTTCATCAATACTTGTTTTGTTTCTTACCATAAATCTCCTTCTATCTTTAACTATTGAATTTCTTGATTAATCAATTAATTTGTACTTTGGTTAAATCTTTGGCTTTCAACAAAGGAATAATACTTAACTTTGCGGGGCCTGGGTCTTTTTAAAAAAAATTTTTTTTTTTTCGTAATTCCGTGAATATCACTCAGAGTTACATAGATATTTTTCTGTTCGAGAACATTGATTATTGTCGATTCGAATCATCTGAGGCATAAAGTTTTAATCTTTCCTATTTTTTTTACGTTTCGGGATAGTTTTTACGAGCAAAGAATCAAAGGTTTCAATTTTGTTAAAGAAAATTTGGAAGAAAAAAAGTTTAATTTTTTATTGGATCCACCATCAAATTCAGTGACGTACCATGCGACATTTCGCGCAGGTGCGCCAAAAAACAAAACCCTTTAAAAAAATATCCTATCAAAATAGTAATTGATACTGATTTTTATTTATTTTAGAAAGATTATTTAAAAATATTAAAGATATAATTAATAATACAATTGTTATAAATTAATTGAATGTCTCGAAGTCTCACTTATACTAAAGCTCTAGTTACGGGTGGATTATTTGTAGGATTTGGATATGCATTGATGAAATATAGTACACCTACCGAAGAAGAATTTTATATGGTATTTTATTTAAAATTAAAATTTTGATACTTAAAATGATACTATATTTTACCCAAATTAATATATTTAAATAGAAATTACCTCCGGGATTCAGAAAAGAAGAAGATAAGGAGAAAACACGAGAACGTACTGCCTTAATGATGGAAATAGTAAAAAAAGTTGCTGGATCGGATAAACCAAGTTGGTAAAAAGTTTTAATTATAATAAATAAAAAAAATTTATTATTTAATTTATATTTTACCATTTTTCTCTTTAATTTTTTTTTTTTTTAAAAAAAAAAGTGTATGATCCAAAACAAGTAATTCTTGATGAGAAAAGCAAAGGAAAATAGGTATTACAAATAATATATGACACATATGTATATAAATAATTATTTAATAACTGATAATTATCGCCATTTGTACATTAGATATAATATTACCACATTAGATATAATATTTACCACATTAGCCTAAAACCAATCTCGAGGACTAATATTTAATTACTTAATTGATTTTTAAAAGATTTCTTATATAACCAAGTTAAAGGCAAAAAAATATCCAAAGAAAAGAAATCACACAAAGAATATTAAACCATTTACTTTTCATTAATTTAGAAAATTTATGATCTGATTTGAACTTTAACTATTTAATTACGTATGGGATAAGTTATATGAAGAGTATTATTATATTCTTCTTGTTGTCGAATAACAACGGATGAGATATTGCTTTAGTTAAAGAATCATAATTCCAAATTATCACCTAATTAATTTTTATAAAAATATTAAATTCTAATTCAATAAATAATTGTTATATATAATAATAATATAAAAATACCTTTCTCATTTAAATTTCCTTTAATAAATTTTGATTTTCAACATATTCTCTCAATAATTCCATAATATCCAGATTATGATATTTTTTATTGGGGATAATATGTTATTTTCCATAAGGTATAAATATAATTTGTGAGATCAAAAGTAAATTTAAAATCTGTAACTTCTACTACTTTTGAACTAGAATTAGAATTAGGTTCATTATTTGTATGATAACATTTTTTTTAATCAAAAACTAAAAATTTCTAGTGAATTTTAATATAATTTCAAGAAAAATTTACCAATTAGTTATTCATTTGGTTTATAATATAATATCTCATGAACAATGGACAAATAAAATAAATAAATGAATAAATATTGTAATAAAAATAAGAAATAAGAAATAAGAAAAAGCCAAAGTAGTAAAATATAACTCTTTCCAATGCTCTTTATTAATAAATGTTTAAAATAATCATGATAATTATAATTTTCCAAAATTGGATACAAACAACTTCTCCAAATATGCAAATAAAATAAATTTCAAGAGGTATAACTCATCAGCTAGATATCTGTTAAAAAAAAATTTTTTTTCTAAAAATTCTTTATTAATAAATGAAAAATTAACAAATAAATATATAGTATAGATATAGTCCAAAATATTTCAAGACCAGGATAACACCCTTGATCAATCTGATGTAATTAATAAAGGTGATCAACTTTATTAGAGTTCAACGTTGTTCATATGATAACCTTTATCGATTACATCAATTATCTTGGAATCAAAGGGTATTATCATAATCCTGAGATATTACATAGATATTACATACGAGGAGGAGGAAATGACTAAAGATTAAATTAAGTCAAGATTAAAAAAACAATTTTTTTTTTTTTTTTTTGAAATATGAAACAATTTAATAAAATATGTCATTACCAATCCTCTATCATTTACGTCATCCGGATCACCACCCAATTCAACTCGTAAATTATCATAAGGATAAGTTTTGGGAACCTTTTATATAAATATATTTATATTAATATTGAATTAATAATAATAATAAATAATAATTATTATTATTATCATCATTAAATACTCACAGCAGGTCTTTCGGGTACAGTGACTGTAATAATTATTGCAAGTACACCAACACCAAGGAAAAAAGTGGCCATCTGTTTTAAGGCTGTAGGAATGTGACAATCATAAATATCAAATGCCCACACATTTATTGCATCTTCTTGTTCATGAAACTAAAAAGAAAGAGAATATTTTTTTTTTATTTCTTTTTAATTTCTTATTAATTCTCTATTCAGAATTATGTTTCAAGGGGATTAATTAATAAATAAAATAAAATTAAAATAAAAAAATAAAAAATTTTATATAAATAAAAAAATTTGTTTACCATACCGATTCTCCAAAATTTCTTCTTTCTTGTTCATCCCACCAACCATAAGGTGACCTTTTAAATTTCGATTCAAAGGGTAAATTTGGATAATCCCCGATTTGTGGATCATTGGTATAATATTTAGGTGGTTCAGGTTTATAATATCTTCTTGCTATTTTTGCTATTTGTTGAGAAGAAGAAAAGATGGTAGGAGTGGTAATAGTAGTAGTAGTAGTAGGTAGTAGTAAATTTCGCTTAAATAATAAATGCTGTCGAGAAACAAATATATTTTTACGAACTGGAATAACAAAACGTGAAAGCATCTTATTTGTTAATATTCTCAAGAATTAATATTCTTGATTGAAATTTTTGAAACTTTTCGAGAATAAAAAAAAATATATAATAAATAAAAATCTAAATCTAATTAGAATATATCATGTGAAAATCTTGGATAAATGAAGTCCAATAAGATTTTTTTTTTTTCCTTCCTACTATTTCTTTTCCTTAAATTCGAGATTTTTTTAAATAATATATAGTAAGTATTGAAATTATCAATACATTATAATACATTAATAATTTATTATAACCATTATAAAGTATTTTATTCATTTTTTATTTTTTTTAATTTATTAATAGGGGAAATGGCTGATTTAGTTTGGTAAATATATAATACATTTTATATGTTTTTAATATTTCTATTTTTTAAATATTTGATTAATTCATTATGTTGTTATTATATTATTATTATTATCGATACATTAATTCAGGCTCCTTGTCAGGAACAATAATTCCTTCTTGGTTAAACGTAACGGTGTTCAGTTTACCTCTGAACCTAATAATATAACCAACACAAATTCATTCAAATATTCGGGACTTGCCAATGATAAAGTTTGTAATTAAATTAAAATTAAAATTAATAATAATAATAATAATAATAACAATTCTTAGTAATATTTAATTCAATTAATTAATTAATTAAATCATAATAAATAATAAATATTAATAATAATAATAATAATAATAATAATAATTTAAAAATTCAGGCAATTGGTATAATTCCAAATAATTCCTCTCCTTCCAGTAAAAAAGCCAAAGGAGTAACTGTTGTCAATAAAAAAACCAAGACAGCATCTTATAAACCAGCAAAAGGAATTAATAAAGTGAACTTGACAAAAGGAGTACGTAAATCAGCTAAAAGTTTTATTAATTCTTATACAAAAGTAGATTATCGTCCTGACTTGCGCAAGGTTTGATTTCTTTAATTAATTCTAAATGTGATGATTATGCATAAAAAAAATGTTATATAGTTAAAAATATCTTATTCTTCTTCTTATTTATTTTAATATTTTAATATTTTAATATTTTAATATTTTAATAGGATGCATTAGCTCGTATTTCTGCCATCTATCAATCTCAAAAGCCAATTAAAGTTCACACCAGAAAAACTAGTCGTCGTCATACAAAGAAACAAAAATAAATAAAAAAAAAGATTTGAGTGGATTAATTATTATTTATAATAACAATAACAAATAATAATAATAATAATAAAAGTGAATATTATGTAACTATTGTTTTTGTTTAATAATATTATTTTTTTTTAAAAAAAAAGGGGGAAAGAAAGAAAGAGAAAGATATTAAAACCATACATTAAATATATATAAAAAAAGAATTCATCATGAAAAAATTTCTAATCAATTGAAAAAATTCGAGATTCAATATCTTCCACCACCCAATCCATTCCTCGAAGTAAATTTTCTCCTGTAACCGCACTACAAGCTTGAATAGCCCAATGATGTGTCACTATTGAATCCAATTCAAGTTTTTCCCGAATGTGTATATCAGCCAAAGCACCGGGAAGATCTTGTTTATTAGCAAAAAGTAATAAAGAAGCACCTGCCAGACGCTAACCATTTTTTAAAAATTAATTTTATATATAAAAAAAGTTGGGTGAATTCAAATTAATTCACATGCAATAATATGTAAAAAAAAAATAATTATTATAAATTTAGATTTTATTCTTACCTCTTCTTGAAGTAAAGCTTTTAATTCTCTTTTACAATCTTCCATACGCATTCGATCCGCACTATCTATCACCCAAATTACTCCATCGGTTTGTTCAAAATAATTACGCCAATAAGATCTAATTGATTTCTGTCCTCCAACATCATATACGTGTAATGTGAATCTTTGTAATTAAATTAATTAAAATTAATTATAAATAATAATAATAATAATAATAATAATAATAATTAAAAATTTACCCGTTATGTTCTAAAGTTTTAATATTAAAACCGAGTGTAGGTGAAATGGTATTAATATCTTCACCATTTAATCGTTTTAGAATTGTGGTCTTCCCCGCATTATCAAGACCACTTTTTATAGTAATGATTTATTATTATTATTATTATTATTATTAATTGTTGTTGTCGTTATTGTTGTTTGGATAATAAAAAAATTAATTACATACAGTACCAATAATCTTATCTCTTTCTCTTTCTGTCGAATGTTTCGTAAAATTGATAATAATCCCATTCTTTTTTATATTTATTATCTTTAGAATTTTGTAAAGTGTAGAATTTATCGAATTTATAAAAATTGTAGAATTTATATTATTATTTTTTTCGAAGAAATACCATTATAATCAATATATACTTTATATATATTTTAAATATTTGTACGACTTAAAAAACAAGTAATTCCAAATCATGTGATACATGTTAATTTTTTTTTTATATAAAATAACCTGAATATACTTGTACTTCAGTTGAATTAGAAATAATTAAATAATGATAATGATGGGGGAGCAATCTTACTTCTTCCTTTTAACATGTTTAATAGTAATAACAATTTTGACTTCTTTTGGTCAAACTCAATTATTAATACCTCAAGATGAATATATTTATAATCAAGATTATGAACAAATAGCAATGATGGATTTTGAAGACGGTCCAATCCTTCAAGGACCTCCCACCTTAATTGATATAATACCTATAGAAAAAGATTTAACAATTTTTGTTGATTGTATAAGAACATTTGCCGATATTGTATGTAATTTTTTTGTTTTTTTTTTTTTTTGTTTTAAAACTTTTATTTTATTGTTATTTAATTATTCTTATTATTTTTTCTTGTTTCTTATTATTTTCTTTCTTCCTAATTATTATTATTATCATCATCATTATTATTATTTTTTTTTAAAAAAAAAAGGTTGACTTGCTTTCCAAACCCGATTCATCAGTTATTCTTTTAGCACCAGTAAATTCAGTACTTAGAGATCTTACTCATATAATAACTGGTAAAAATCAAGTTAAAGGGAACGAAGTAGATCCCCAGAAAAATGTGTATAAATTTGTATTAGGACATCTTGTTATTACTGATAAAAAATCACTTTCTCAAGGTGAAAATTTAAAATCAATGGATAATAATACCATTACTGTAGAAGAAGGGATTAATAATATTTATAAATTAAATGGTAAAGTAAATACTACGGGATTTATTAAAAAAGTGGTAAATGGAGTTCTTTATAAGATTGATGGTATTTTGGTTGATGATTCGTGAATATTTTTTATGAATACTTTTATGAATACTTTTTATGATTGATTATTACTTTTAATCAATTATTATTATTATTATTATTGTGAATGTTGGAATCCATTGTAAATGTAATTTTATTTTATTTGATAGTTTTATAATAGTATAAAAATAGTATCAATGAACATTGATTTGATATATTTTATTTATATTAATTAGTGTATTATTAATTAAGTAAAAAAAACAATAAATAAATAATAATATCACGTCACGAAAGATCCGCGATCTAAAAATTTAATTTGTTCAAAAAAATAAAAATAAATTATATAATGGTTTCTTAACATGCAAAAGTGGAGGAGAATACTTCTTCAACCTTACAATATTTTCAATACTCGCATTTTCAGTAGTAAATATAATAACAATAGTAATAATAATACAACAACAATAAGAAGACGAATAATAATAAGTGAACAAAAAGAATATTTTCATTCAACTTCAAATGGCCAATTTGTCGAACATACTGATAAGCAAGTTTTTGAAAAACCCGTTGAAAACCAATTTTATAAGAATTTTAAATCAAAAGAAAAAGATAAAGTTCATGAGGGAGATCATTTTGTTAGAGTACCTGATCGAAGTTTGATAGAGGTAACAGGTGAAGATTCTATTAAATTTTTACAAGGACTTACAACCAACGATATGAAAAAACTTAGTTCGGGTGGTGAAGGATTTTACAATTCATTCTTGAATCCAGTGGTAAATATAATATTTATATATAATATTTCGATGATATAAATTTAATTAATTTAATTTAATTTAATTTAATTTAATTGAAATTTAATTTAATTGAAATTTTAATTAATTAATTATTTATTTATTTATTTATTTATTTATTTATTTTAGGGACGAGTATTATTTGATACATTTATTCATCCTAAAAATATAGAAGATAAATTTCCGATTCCACCGAGTTTTCTAATTGAATGTGATTCACGAGCTTTAACCGATCTCATTAAACATTTAAAAAAATATGTTCTTCGATCTAAAGTTACCATTATTGATGTATCATCTAGATATAATGTTTGGAATTTATGGGGTGATAATTTAAATAATTTATGGTGGTATCATCGAAATTCCACAACAACAACTAATAATAATAATAATAATAATAATAATAATAATAATCCCACCACTGATAACACTGATAATAATCTCACCACTGATAATAATCCCACCACCACCGATAATCCCATCACTATAATTACAAAAAAAAGTATCGGCGATATTTGTTGTAGAGATAAAAGATGTCCTTATATGGGATTAAGATTAATATTACCTTTTGATGAATCACGTAATTATATTATACCGATATATTTTATCATATTTTTATTATAGTTTATTCATTATACCTATATTGTATTCATTATACTTATATTGTATTATAATTATACTTTATAATTATACATTATAATTATACTTTATATATTATAATTATACTTTAATCATTATTTCAATCAGCATCAGTTCCAGAATATTTTTCAGAGTTAGCACCCGAAGAATATACATTACGTCGCATTTTACACGGAATTCCGGAAGGAATAGATTGTTTTACTCCCGGAATATCGTTTCCATTACAAAGCAATTTCGATTATATGAATGGAAGTCAGTAAAAATATCCATATACACACAATAATATTTAATATTAAATAATTAATTGATTTAATAATAATAATTTTAATAATTTTATTATTTTATTATTTGTAGTTGATTGGAGAAAAGGTTGTTACGTTGGTCAAGAACTTACTTTTAGAACATATTATATCGGAGTGACCAAAAAGCGTATCATGCCGATACAATTATATAATAAAGATGAAAGGTAATTAATGATGATGATGATGATGATGATGATCAGTGTTTGAAATTTGCTTCTTAAATTTGCACATGATTTAAAATTTAATGTGAAATGATGAGCGAGATTTACGGTAGTGTGCGATAGTGTGCGGTAGTGTGCGGTAGTGTGCGGGATGTGCGCCGGGATGCGCGCGGGATGCACGTGGGATGTGCATAAATGTGCGTAAATGTGCGGAAATGCTAAAAAAAAAATTGAAATTTCAAACACTGATGATAAATATGATAAATAATAATAATAATAATAATAATAATAATAAATAATATCATTGTATTATTTTTTTAATAGTCCAACAGACAAATTAGAATTAAATCGAAAATCCAATATTAATTTATTACTTCCCCCACCAACATCTGGAATCTATTCATCAATAGAAAGTTTAAGTAAAAAACAACGTCCAGTAGGTAATATTGGAATTTCTCGACATAATATAGGTTTAGCATTAATATCCTTAGATAAAATTCTTGAATCAAATAGTTTATTTTTTATGACGAATGGACAAGGTGATGTATTTAAAGTAAAATCATTTATTCCTGATTGGTGGCCTAAAAGTAGTTAATAGTCATAATCACAATCATAATGACAAATCTAGATAGTAGTTGTTTCGAAACTTTTTATTAATAAAAAAAATTCTAATGCGCCATACATACATTGATTGCATACCTGTTTGTTTGCGAATGACTTGCCAAAAAAAATCAGCCTGTTTTCCTTCATGCATGCTATGCATGCTACGTAATGTAATAAATAAAAAATGATATAATATAACTTATAGTACATATTAGTGATATATATATATTTACGATATAATATTGGTATATACGGTTTAAATATATATCGATTTTATTTAATAAAAAAGGGAAAAATTATTTCTCACCCCTCTTATAAGGGGGTAATTAATAATACTTGATGAATTTTTAATTAATTAATGAATTTTTTATTTATTATTAAGCATTAATATTCATTTATTTTATATTAATTATAAATTATTCAATCCATTACCAATCATTCAAGCATGCACTCGCCTGATTTGTTTGCTATGCATTGATTTGACTTATGCAATGCAATTTTGTGCGAGGCTAATAAAAATAATATAATGGGCTAGAGTATTTTTGATCTCTCGATTTTATAAAGATTTCTATAATAATTTATAAAGTAATAATTATTGGGAGTAATTTTTTTTTTGATCAATCAATGATGATGATAATAATATCGTGATATAGGCCCGATTTTTTTGTTTGGTTTTTTTTTTTTTTTTTTTTCTTTCTTTCTTTCACTCAGCTTTGAGTTTTTTTTCCTTCTCTTTTCTTTCACTCAACTGAGTTTTTTTTTTTTTTCTTTTCGATCAAATCTTTATCACGCCTCCTCGACAATAACAAATTATAATATTCTATAATAATATCTCATGACAAATAATAAATATTCTATAACAAATAATAATATTCTAAATAATATTTTAAATATATATAATAATAGTTTTTAATTTTATATACAAGTATGAAATTCTCTCATTCAATTCAGTTCAACTCAGTACCTGACTGGTCTAAACATTATATTGCGTATCCTTTAATATTGTTATGTTTGAAAAGTTTTAAGAATTTTTAATTGATTTTTACTTCAAATATTATTATTTTTTTTTTAATTTCTTGACTCAAATGATTTCTATAAAATCTAATAAATTATTTCAATTTTAAATAAAAATAATTTCAAAATATTAATATAATAAAAAAAAAAAAAAATTCAAATCATTTAAAGATACTCAAATCTCAAAAAATTAATTTATCAGATTGAAAGAGATGTGATCACCAATTCAATAGTTATCGGTACTGGTGGTATTGTTGAAGATGTTGAAGCTATTTCCACCCTCACGGAAATTTCTCCTTTATTAGATTCTAAATCTCGGACAAATTCAATTTTCATACCTGCTCTAGATAAAGAATTAGCTAAAATCAATTCATTCTATTGTGAAAAAGAAAAGGAACTTATTAATGAATTAGAAAATCTTATTCGTGATTATAATTCATTTGAAAATTTGGAAGATTCTATTAGCGTTCAAAGTAATCCTATATATCCTAGTAGATCATATCCATCACTTGATGGTCGAAAAGGAAGCACTCGTCGAAATAATTTATTTAATTTTCATTTATGGGATAGATCAGAATCTTTTCTTAGTAGTGACGATGAAGAATCTTTTGTTAATTCTCCTATTACTATTAATGATAATGTTAATTCTACTAATAGTATCCCAACTACTTCGACTACTACTCCTGGAATAAGATTTTTGAATGATAATAATAATAATAATAATAATAATAATAATAATAATAGTAATCATAATCTTCGTAATCATAATTATTCGATTAGTAATTCATTTGATGAAAGACGTTTAAGTTATTTATGGGATAATCCTCCTTCAATAGAAGATCAAAGGATCCGTTTAAAGAAACGTACTATTGAACTTTTCGTTTGGTTATCTGAATTAAAATCTTTTGTCTCTTTAAATAATACTGGATTTTCCAAGATTTTAAAAAAATATGATAAAATTACCAATAGTAATCTTAAAGGTTCATATTTAAATAATGTCATGAGTGAAGCTTATCCTTTCCTAAAATCTACTCGACAAATTTTAGAAGATAAATTAATTAAAGTTCGAGAAATTTATTCTAATTTATGTACAAATTCTGATATGGAAGCTGCTACACGTGAATTAAAAACTCATTTAAGAGAATTTATTGTATGGGAAAGAAATACCATTTGGAGGGATATTATTGGTTTAGAAAGGAAATCCCATGCTGTTGGAATAACTGTAGAGAAATTAGAAGAACCTAATGCAAAGATTGATACCCCTTTTGGTAAAATGACTGTTTCAGCCATTTTCTGGAAGAATGCTCTTTGGGCAACAATATGTATCTCGATATTCCTCATTATATTAAATTCTAATTTATTTAAAAGAGAAGAACAAAGAAATTGTTTTGCATTACTTGTATTTTCCGCTCTTCTTTGGTCAACTGAGGTAATTATTATTATTTATTTATTATTTATTTATTATTTATTCAACTATATATATTGTTTATCACTTATTTATTATTTATTTATTATTATTTATTATTATTTATTATTATTATTATTATTATTATTAATTATTTATTATTATTAGGTTATCCCACTTTTTGTCACATCACTATTAATTCCTTTATTGGTGGTATGTTTAAGAGTATTATGTTCTGATGGTAATGGTACAGAACCACCAACCAGACTTGGTTCACATGAAGCAACCAAACAAATATTTTCTGCTATGTTCTCTCCAGTTATTATGTTGTTGTTAGGAGGATTTGCTATTGCTGGAGCATTAAGTAAATATCATATTGCCAAAATGATGGCAACATACGTATTATCAAAAGCTGGTACAAAACCAAGTTTCGTTCTTTTAGCTAACATGTTTGTCGCCACTTTTGCAAGTATGTGGATAAGTAATGTGGCTGCTCCAGTTTTATGTCTTTCATTAATTCAGGTATCAAAAAATTATAATTGACAAAATTATATATATATATATATATATATATATGAAAATTCTATTAAACAAATATTTTCCTTTATTTTATTATTTTTTTTTCTTATAAAAATAGCCCATCCTTCGTAATTTACCTCCAAACAGTTCATTTGCTCGATGTTTAATATTAGGTATCGCTTTAGCATCTAATATTGGAGGAATGGCGTCACCAATATCATCTCCTCAAAATATTATTGCCATAGAAAATATGAATCCTTCACCTACTTGGGTTCAATGGTTTATAGTAGCTATACCTTTATGTATCGTGATAGATATTTTAGTTTGGTTATTATTACTTTGGAATTATCAACCATCTCAAAATTCTTTAATGATTCATCATATAAGACCAACCAAAGATCCTTGGACCGGAATTCAAATTTTCGTAATTTTCATTACCATCTTTACCATAATTTTATGGTGCGTTGAAAAAAAATTAGAATACTTTTTCGGAGATATGGGAATTATTGCCATAATACCTTTGGTTATGTTCTTTGGTACGGGAATTCTTACTAAAGAAGATTTTAATAATTTCTTGTGGACGGTGATCATACTTGCCATGGGTGGTATAGCACTTGGTAAAGCAGTACAGAGTTCAGGTTTATTACATACCATCGCTAAAAGTATTCAATCCATGGTGGGAAATTATAATGCTTGGCAAATACTTGTAATATTTGCTTCTTTGGTATTAGTTATGACCACATTTATTAGTCATACAGTTGGAGCTTTGATAATTTTACCTATCGTAGCGGAAGTTGGAAGTCAATTGAGTGATCCACATCCTAATTTACTTGTGATGGTTTGTATATTGTATTTCTTATAATAATTATATTCATATGTCAAAATCTCACAAAAAAAGAAAAAGTTTAAAATATTATTAATTATTGATAAATATCTATTTCTTATTTTAAGGGTTCTGCACTTATGTGTTCTCTTGCTATGGGATTACCTGTATCCGGATTTCCAAATATGAATGCAATAATGATGGAAGATGAAATGGGAGTTCGATATTTAAATACTTTTGATTTTATTAAATCGGGTGTGCCAGGATCATTACTTGGATTTTTAACTGTGATAACCGTTGGTTACTTGTTAATGACGTTTATAGGATTTTAAAATATTTGATATAAATAAATTAATGTCACTTTATTCCTTATTTATATTATAGTAAAAAATTATTATTTTAAATTATTCCGTAAAAATAATCGAATGTATATATCTATATTTATTACCTAAACCATTATTGTGTTATAATCTTTTAAAGGTTTTGTTTTTTTTTTTTTTTGTTGTAACTTCGCGAAACCATTCATTTAATAATAATAACAATAACTACTTTCTTATTATTTTAATTATCGATAATAATAATTATTCATTCCTTTGATTATTTCTTTTGCATCCGTTCGATAATATCAAAAGAGGACGTCAATACCAAAAAAAAAAAAAGCAATCCCTAAAAATTTTTTGCTAAACTTGTTTATCAAAAGTTGAAAAAATATACGCGCAAACTATCAGTGTACCCGTGCAAGTCTATTTTTCTTGTTATTTGTTAAGTTGCAACTGATTCGTGCTTATGTTTTTTGAAAAAAAAAAAATTAAATCAATTTTATGTATCAAAATCTGAATAAATTTTTAAATTCTTAAAGTTCATTTCTTTGCTTCTTTTATTGTTATTTTATTATTTTTTAAAAAAAAAAAATATCAAAAATTATGATAATACAGCGAGTAAGTAAAGTTTAATACGTCTTGATTTATTTCCACAACACAGTAAACAAGTGAGAACCCCTTTTTTTCCTTCTATATTTTGATTTAAAAACACTTTGTTATCTTAAATATCTCGATCGCGGGATTAAAAAAAATTATAATACTTAAAGGAATAAAGTTCATTGGGAAAATAGAATTATAATAACAACAACAATAATATTATTATTGTTACATATTCACCATATTATTAGAAGCGAATAATATTTTTTTCCTATTTCAATTTTGTGATTTATTGTTCGTACAAGTATTTACAATGATAATGTAACTTTTTGGTATAATGTCATTTCCAGAGAATTTTTTTTATTTCTCTTGTTCATAAACTATAGAAGCGAAACAATAAAACCCAACCATTAATTTGAATAAAATTATACGTAGATTCATTAATTTTAATTCAAATAATGGTTTTTCGATGCATTCATCATAATAAGTTCACGTTTAAAAAAATATTTATAAAAAATATTTATATTTTAACCTATTGATCACCAGTGTTGATCACTAGCCAATAATCCCTAGAAGCACAAGTAACACAAAAGGTAGATCAGGTGAGTCATAAGACTTTTGTATATATATATTTTTTTTTTTAAAAAACACACTTTACCTCTTGATTTAATTTCTTTTTCGCAAGTTTAGGAATATCTTAACCCAGCCTTCCCTATAAGATCCCAACATTTTTTCAGAATTGATTTCCAAGTCTGAATACTTAAACTTGAAATCAATTAGGTATTTTCCGTGAAGATATTTTTCTTTCTTCACAAGACGATTGTACCTTTCCATTCCGATTTTCGAGAAATCGGATACAGTCATCTTTTGTATCCTTTCTAATTTTAATACTGAATTTTATTCATTATCGATTTTCATATTTTTTTAATTGAGTTTTTTCATATTCAATAAACTCTTTAATGTAATTCAGTTTCTTACGCGAAACTTTGAGTAAAATTTCTGCATTCTTTTCTGAAGAGAACATAATGACCGCTTCGTCATGTGACTTCGCACGATGCCTGAGGAGATTTCTAGCAGAGATGGAAGCGTTTGTTTCTAGGTCGGATTTTTTTAAAGTAGACATGTACTCTTTAATTTTCATAGCACATGCACTAGGTTGTACTTTTCTTGGAATCTTTACAAAAGCTATAAATATAATTTTGACAGATAAAATAGGTGTTATTTTTATTTTTTACAAACAGTATTTACAAATTTTTTATTTACCTAAAGAAGAATCTATTATGTTATAAGATATAGAAACAGTTAGCTTAAGAAAAATGTAATTTAATTTTAATCGTAGGGAATATAATTGAAAATACAAAGCGAAATAGTAATAAAAGTATTTTTGAAAATTGTAGAGTTTGCGTGTTTATGTAATGAAAAAAAATCAACAAATTTTTTGCATAGCAATCGCGCGACAATCGAACATCTCTTATCATTAGACAATCGATCTGAATGATATAAATATTAAAAAAAATCTAATATATAGTAATAATTATAATTAAAATATCTTATTAGTTTTCGTAATATGTATTTTTACGAGACATGAAGTCAGTAAATCAAATGTGTGTAACGAAAAGTCGATGGAAAGTTAATAAATTAAATGTGCACGGATGAAGCATTGTCTCCGTTCTTAATTCCCAATGTTATATTTTAAAAAGTTTACAGTCAATCTTTAGACTGATAAACCTGATAAAAAGAAAGTAAAAGAAAGTAAAAGAAACATTTGGAACTATAGACTTTGTAATCTATCTGAAATAATAATAGGAAATATATATCTTTCATTATACAATAGATCTTTGTTTTACCATTTGTAATTGTGTGATTACGAATATTTAATAATATCGATATAAATTATAAACGTTTCAAACAAAAAATAAAGAAATTACAGAATATTCAAAAAAAAATATTAAATCGGTTAATTAATAACATGAATATTAAGTAAATTAAGTCAATTCTTGTCTAAATTTATATTATTATTAAAACGCAATATTGATATTTATTTATTAATGATTTTAATAATATTTATTATCGATGTTATAAAATATACAATATTATTATAATAAATTGATTTTATATAATAGCTTAATCAGTCTAAGAATCTCAGATGATTAACATTAACATTTTATTGTCAGTTGTTTCAATAGTTAATTACGTGTTAAAATATACCTTTTTTTTCGCTCTTTATACAATCTGCTTTTTCGAATTCAGAATCATCATTGAAATGCCTGTGATTTTATCGAAATTCAAAATCTGCACTAAATTACTTTTGTTTAAGATTAAAAACTATAAAAAAAATGAAGGAGAGGAAGATTACTTTACAAAGGAAGGAAATTAAATCATAATAACTGTGATGATATTGCTGAAATTAGAATTGATTGAAAGGTAAATTATATTTTATTTCATAATATAGCGGATGTACTATGAACCAGATTTTGAAGGTGAAAGGTGAAGGTGTTGCATGCATAGTCAAGAAGAGGAAAAAAGAAGACCGCTACTGGAAGGCGAGAACAATGTAGAGTAGATGCAAGAATTGAAGTGAGAATGGAAATGTGAGTGGAATAAAAGTAGTAGAGTTATAAATCTGGAATATATTTCATATGCTTCTTTCAATATATTTTGATTATTTTTATATATTTTCTTTTCACTATTCTGTATATATTTTCGTTTCATCATAAAATTTAAATATTCTCAAATTACAATTTTTGAATTTTCGAGTCGATCGCTTTTTTTTTGGATTATGTGACGAAAATTTAACGCATGAATTGCATAGAAAACCAGTTTTAGAACCCACATATCATAATCACGATGTGTACTTAAAAAAATAATGCATAACTATTGATGAGCCACATTTATATAATATGTAAATAAGCCCGATTATCGTGGGAATTTGTAAATTATTTTTTTATTCTCCTCACAATGTTGTTTCGAGCACTCAAAAAATTTCGTCTACCATCTTTACCATCCTTATTACCCCCTTCATCAAGAGCTATCGTACCGAATTCTATATTATCAAATGTTAAAAAGAATTTTTTATTCCCTCGAGAATTCCATAATTCTCAACCTCTTCGTGAAACATTGTTTTATTTGAAAACTGAAGATGTAGACTACTCTCAATCCGTGAGCTTTAAATTACCTGAACAAATTCAATTGATTGCGAAAAATACCACAGAAAAGATTTCCGATAATAATATTACTGATATGATGATATCAGAATTACAAGGATCTTTCTTTATATTCCTTGTTCAAGCGCTTAAAGCAAATAGAATATTAGAAGTTGGAACATTTACAGGGTTATCGGCAGCTTGTTTTGCTGAAGGATTAAGAAGATTGGGTAGTAAAGATGATGCAAAAGTAGTTACAATAGAATATAGCAAAGAATATTACGAAATGGCCAAAAATAATATTAATAATGCTGGATATTCTGATTTGGTGGAATTGATTTCAAGTGATGGCGCATCAGCGTAAGTAAATAATAAATTTGTAAATATAAATAATTATATATCTCTTTGCGTCAGGATTATTCATTTATGCATAAATTTAGACTTGAAGGTATGGATAATTCGAAGCAATTTGACTTGGCGTTTTTAGGTAATATTTCATATAATTATTAATAATAAAAATATTATTATTAGGTTTTTATTTTTTTTTTCTTTAGATGCGGATAAAGGTGGATATATAAAATATTATGATACCATTCTTGAACGTAACCTGCTTTCAGACGATGGTATTATAATTGCTGACAATGGTGAAGATTATCTCGATTAGTTTTGTTTTATTGTCTTTGTTGTTTTATTTATTTATTTATTTATTTATTTTTTTTATTTTTTTTTTTTTATTTAATTTTATCATAAGCTTTGTTCCATGGATATGTACACCAAGTTAAAAAACTTGAAGCTGAAGGTAAACTTGACTTATTACCAGAAGAATTTAGGGATCGTTGTATTATAAGCATGAGTCGATTTAACGAACATGTGAAGAATGATCCAAGAACCACACAAGTTTTATTACCCGTTTTTGATGGACTTTCGTTTATGCGAAAGAATATTTGAGATAATTTTATTTCATGAGATATATTTGAACCCTCCATTTTAAGAAAATATAATTTCTTTCTATAAAAATCAATATTTCTTCTTTTTCTTGTTGATTATCAGAAATGTTATACCTTTCTTTATTGGTTCTTGCGCTGTCAAATTATAAATAATGTTAATATATATCATATATATCAATTAAACTTGTTTACTCATTGAATTTGATTTTTCATGTTATTCCCAAGCACTTTATTCAATTAGGTAAAAAAAAAAAGTAATTTATAATGTTGTGTTCATTGTCTACATGAAATCAATTCGGATTGGTTATCTAAATTTAAATGAGATGTTCAAAATTAGTAAATTTGCACTTGAGATATTATCTATATTCCGTACAGCATAAAGCGATCCTGCCGCCGGAATGACATAATCATGAAAATTGAATTATCTAATTTTATATTGTAAAAAAAATGTTATTTTATACCCTTAACAAAATTACAACAACGACATTATTACCCTTATGAATTGTATTCGTAGAATAATGTTAGGCATATGTGATCTTTTTGAGTATCTGAATATGGGTGAAATTATTTGTCCGTATTTAAACATGTAGCTTGTTTTTTTTTAATTTTTTTTAATTGACAGAAAAGAATAAGAATGATTATTTAACTGATTAATATAATAATGTGTCATTAAACGGACTCAATTTTAATGTAAGCATCCGATGATATTTTCAAATGTATTTTCGATTACTTTGGGAATACTATTTGCCTACATTATAAGTTTTCGTTTCTCTAAACTTTCTATGCAAATATTCTAGGATATGGTAAGTCCGGTTATATGACCTACCTGTGGGTCACCAGGTAAAGTCTAATCACTACATAATAACGATTAAAAAAAATAACCAGATTAACCATATTCCTCGATTTTTTCATATGCATTCCAACTTTTTGAAAAAAAAATAATTTTCTTGTTCATCACTTATTTCTTTATCTCAATCTTTTTAATTTTTAAACAAAGTATGAAGAATTAATACTTATTTTAATTAATTTTATTTAATTAATTAATAGTTATCCAATCAATATTATTTATTTTTCCAATGTTATATTATTATAGAATGCCAGCAAATTTTACACAATGTGCTATGTGCACTATAATGAACGAAATACAAATGAATTTATCATAAAAGAAGTAACGGCGATTTCGAGATTAAATGATTTCTTTTTTAATAAATTGTGTTCACTGTGTTCGGAAAAATATTAGGTCGGCTTTTAAAATAATCGATTCGAAGTCGATTACCATATCGATTACCATATCTATTACCAGTGAGATATAATCAAAGTCCTTTATATTATAAAAGGTTGGTCAATTTTACATGATCGTGATAGCTTACCTAAATAAATCAGAAGGCTATGGGTGAAGGGGTTGATCAGGCGACAGAAAAAAAATTTTTTGCCTCAACCATGCACAAAAAACAGGATCTTGCTTTATCAAATATGTATCTTGCGTTAGGTGGAATCTCATCTCGATTATTGCAGATCCTGAATGTACAATATAATTTAAAATCACGGCATGTGACAGTGGCTAGTTGTATATGTAATTATTCAATTCTTATTACATAATTATTAAATTCGTTAAAATACATAATTTGGAGTCACATACCACTATTATATAGCAATTACATAATACATTGAATTATGATGAAATGAATCTACATTTAGAAACACCTCCGATTTTATGCAGTTTTTTTTAATTAACACGCACGTTATTTTTATAATCGGCATATCTTTCTACTCAAGATGAGTCCATTAACAAAAATTTATTTAAATAAAGAGAAATTTAGACAAACTCCCAACAATTCAAAATGGGTTTATTATTTGAGATATTAAAAATATCATTAGGTGCCTTAGTAACTTATATCTCTTATTTCTATTACAAATATTTTACACGTGTGAATCCACTTCCTGGTCCTTTTCCACTTCCATTTATTGGTAATACTCATCTCGTTTTCAAAAATTTCGCTTTTGACGTGAGAAAAATTCGAAAATATGGTGATTTATGTGAATTCTATGTGGGATCCGAGCGCTTTATTTTATTGACTAATAATGAAATTATTCAACCAATTGTGAAACCTGTCCTTAACGGTCCATTTCACTGTAGAATGAACGATGATATTGATGGTCTTATAGAAATTGGTGTGATGAACACTGGTTTATTTTTTAATGATAATTATATTAATTGGCTATACCATCGTAAATTTTTTACCAGAGCTGTAATGACCCCTTCATTTATTAAACAATCTGTAACAACCATACAAGAAAATTTTAAAGAAATGGAAAAATTTTGGGAAAAATTTGATGAAGATGCAGTACTTGAATTTGATCATTGGATGAAACGATATTTCTTTGAAACTATTTTTATTATTACCACCAGTAAACCTGCTTATGCATTAGCAAATTATTATAATAAAATAGCCCCTAATGAAATATCAAAATCAAATGTACCAGAAACCGTGCTTAAAGAAAATGAGGCGTTTGTAAAATCTGCTGAAATATATGTTAATAGCTTGACTTATTTCTTCATGGTTCCAAGAATTGTTCGAAATTTCCCTGGAATAAAGGAACATACTCAATACTTAAAGGATGGAGTTGATAGATTTAGGAATACTGTATATGATGTTGTTAGATCAAGACGAGAAGAAATTTCGAAAACATCGATTGATCAAGAATTAAACCCTGACCTATTAACAATGTTTTTAACGGTAAACACTGAAAGAGATGTTACCAAAAGGATTGCTGATGATCTTCATGATAAACCAATGTCTGATAAAGATATAGTATATAATTTTATGGAACTTATAAGTGCTGGTATTGATACGGTATTAATTAATTATTATTTAAAAAATATTGTTGTTAACCTTGATGTGGTAAAAATGATAAAACTTATATTGTATTCTCTTATTCTTTATGCAGAGTTCAAATTCCATGTGCTTCTTAGTTGATTGTTTGGAAAAAAACCCGAAAATAAAACAACGAATGTTAAAAGAAATGGAAAGTGTTCTTGGAAAAGATATAAATACTCCATTGACATTAGAAAATTTATCAAAACTTGAATATACCGATGCTGTCATCAGAGAATGTAATTTCCATGTCTAATTCATTATTATTTTTATTATTATTAATATATTATTACAGTATAAAATTTCATTGATTTTTTAATACTAAAAATTTTTATAATTTTAGCGGCAAGATTGCGTGCTATTGTTCCAACAATTTTCAAGAAAAATTCTTCACCAGAAGTTGTAGGAGGTTATAAATGGCCCAAAGATACTCTCTTTTGTTTAAATTATGATGGAATTCATACACACAAATCATATTGGAAAGATCCCGAAGTATTTAATCCGGATAGATTTATTGAGAATCCAGAGAGTAAAAAGAAAGTTTATTTGTTTGGGGAAGGGTTGAGAAAATGTAAGTAATTTTCTTTAATTATAAATTTATAGAAATATTAAATGAAAAAAATTTAATTATCTAATCTACCATCATTTATCTACTTCAGGTCCAGGAAGACATTTGGCAATGATGGAATTAAAAGCTACTTTAGCGATGTTATACCGAAAGTACGACATTGAATTATTAGAACCAATTAAAGAACATATGGGGATGCCTAGAGAATGCGATGAATTAAAAGTTAAATTAAGAAAAAGGAAAAACTTGTAATAGTTTTTATCATACCTACTTGACTAAAAAAAAAGATTTTCAGATTATCACATGAAATATGTTATAATTAAAATACAATACAAACATACTACAAACTTTTTTAGAGTTGAAAATGCGTAAATTAATTTTTTTTTGTCTTCCACCCTTGTCGGATTTTTTAAATATTGATTATAACTACAGTGAACCCTCTATAAATGTACCCTTATAAATTTTTCCCTTTATAAATGCATTCCCTTTATAAATGCACCCTAATGCTGTTTTCCCAGGGGGTACATTTATAGAAGGTTCACTGTATATATGTCTTAGACAAAAATTAAAGAATTTAATCTTACTTAATAGCCTAAAGATAGTTTAGGCATATGATATTAACTTTATTTATACAAAAATTTAAATTATTTTGTTTAAAATAATTTTTTATTTACAAAATATTGATTACAGCCATATACAGTCTGGTGCAAAAGTCTTTGGACGAATATTTTATGCTGTATCTCCGCAGTCGCTGCGCCAAATCACATGAAAAAACATTTATTTGATAGACACAGAGTTATATTGTATACTAAGAATTAACTTTAATAATTTATTTAATATTTTATATATGTTATATGAATTATGTATTATTCTGAAATAGTATGAAAGTCTTTAAAACATGCAATACACTATTGCACCAAATTTTTAATTGAAAATAATTTTTTAAAACTGGTTTTCTGTAATGAATCTACTAATTCATTTTAGAAAATAAATATCAACAAATATTTATTAGCAAAGTTTGTGGTTTATAATTAAATTATTTTACAAGACTTGCTTGTATCTTTATTATTCATATGTTATATTTATATAAAAATACATAATTATTATTACATAATATAAATATATAATAAATAATATCTTAGGTTTTATAAGACCAATCCGGATGGTTACATATGATAATATAATAAATAAAATGGAATAAAATAGAATAAAAGAAATAAAATAGAATAGAAATGAAATGATTAACACATGAGATTACCACATTGTAAATTTAAAGTTAATCTCATATGCTATCATTTATTATCAGAATAAAAAAATAAAAGTAAAAAGAAGTAAAAAGAAATAAATAAATAAAATAAAATAAGGTAAATGTAAACTACGTAAAATATTGCGTAGAAAATGTAACAACAAAAACTGTTACATTTTTCATTTTTTAACAATATTATAAATAAGCTTTACTCCATTGTGAAGTGAATTAAGATTTCTAATTTTTTGTACTAATCTAGAGTAATTTATTTATTATAACTTAAATTACTGTATAATTTTACTCAAGTTTCT